AAGTTAGTAGATGATCAAAAATTCCTCCTCTCTTAAAACACCCAAGTATAATTTCATTTTTCTAGAATTTAATAATTTGCTGGGCATTCAAAGAAGTGGATGCTATTACTCACCGTAAGCATGATGTAATGGGTAGCACACATTAAGCGATGGATGGCTAGCTGGAAAGTCAGTGGTTCAAACCTACGGAGAGCTATCTAGGAGGAAAGGCCTGCAACCCACTTCCCAATTGGCACAGCCTTGGAAACCAGAGGGGGCAGATTGACTCTGCACCCATGGTGTCCCCGTGAGATGGAATCAAGTGGAGGCCCTCAGACAGCCACAGCACCATGACGTGAAGCAGGAAAGACAGACTGCACAGGACAGGGATTTGACTGGAATGGGTCTTTCACTTCAGTCGGGAGCATTCACGGCCAACACCCAGCTGTCTGTGGAGGCGTGTGTGTATGTTGTTCTGATGCTAAACAGGTTTCATGAACATGTGTCTCTAAGTCACTCGATTTATTCTTGCAAGGAATGTCACTTCGCCTAGCAGCCATACACACCCAGAGGCAGATGGGAAGTGTCTGCTACAAGGAACCACTACTCAACGACCTCATTTTCCCTAAAAATAAACAAAAGCCAACCAACCAACCAGCCAACCAACCATAAAAACAACAACAAAAATCCTTTGCCAAACCAGAGAAATCACTTCCCATTCTCAGTGGCCTTCAAAGGTATTCAGGCTTGTCAGTGTCTAGTTCCCAGTTTGCAGGGACATTTTAGGCAAAGCCCTGGGGGAGTAGTGGGCTGGTAACTGCAAAGTCCGCAATGTGAAACCACGGAAGAAAGACGAGGCTTTCTGCTCCTGTAAACAGTTATTGTCTCAGAGAAGCAGAGGGGCTAGTTCTAGCCAGACCTATAAGGGTCGCTAAGAGTCAGCATTGACTCCATGACACTGAGTTGGTCTTGTTCGACTTCCTGACGCTACAGAGAGCAGATTCTTAAATCGGCCTAAGGATGTGGCACGTACATCCGGCCAAGCACAGGAAGGAGGGAGATGGAAACCTGACAGGGGCCTACTGGGGACATTTCCTCCTTCTTCGGTGCCTCCCAACTTGCAATTTACCCAGTAATCTGGTGCTGATCACCCTGGCACCTTCTGCTGAGAGTATCAACTAAAGGACACTGTAGGAACCGGACTCTCCTAGAAACCTGGAGGATTTCTGATGGCCGTGAGGGTTTATGCTGGCTCACCAGGTCAGCAAAGATGCTTCGCTGCACCAAGTTGGGCCAGCTGGGGGCAAATGCTGGCCTGTGAGAATATTAGAAATGCAGGACCCCAGGCACCAGCCTAGGCCGAGGGAATCCGAATCTGCAATGAACAAGATGCCCAGGTGAGTCTTGGGTTCATCCGAGTATAAAAACTTGCTGTAAAGAACTCCACCTCCTGATGTTATTTTCTGCTTTCGTTTCAAGGCCCCATGAGCTGCCTGTGTTGGCAATGGGCTAGGGGCCTGTGCCGGTAGAAGTGACCATTGGGGGTATTCACCAAGACTTTGCACATCTGAGGGCAGTTGTGCCTAAAGGCGTGGAAAAGTGATTTCCGTGACACTACATTTCGTTCGAAGACCTGTGGGAATGTGCCTATTTGAGTTAACTTCCCGACAGTCCTCAGCAGAGGGGGTCGCAGCCGTTTTCTTCTGTCTTTGGGTCGCGTTCTGATGTCAACATGTTTGCTGACATTGGTGAAATGTTTAACTCCACCCAATTCTACAGAGGCAAAACACCTACATTTAAAAGCCTTGTCTTGAATTTGGGGATGACTACAGAGCCAGATTGAGCTTCCGTTTTGCCATTTAAAATTCAGGCTCTTTGTTGCGAGCCTCCATTATGCTTGATTGCAGTTAGAGAGTATCACACACACCAACCACAGGGAGTGTGGACTAAGGCAAACTTTGCCTAGCTCACAATTTGTCTGAGGTGGCTCTAAAGCTTGACCAGGTGGCCCTACTCTTGGCTAAGTAGCTTGGTTAAATGTGGGTGGATTATAACTATATTTATCGGACTGGTTTGCTAAAGGTTTGTGTGATTTGTTACAAGGTGCCTTTACAAGGTAGTGAATACAACATGAAATGAAATCCATTTTGTCTAGATTTTGTAGCCTTCTGTAAAGGAATTGGTTAGGTGTTGTGTTAGAAATATTGAGAGTACATGAATAACCAGGTTCTAAACAAGATACGTGTGTGTGTGTGTGTCCTGCAATGATGCAGGTAGGAAAGAGTATCAACAAATTCCACATACTGTTTTCTGATAATGTGAGTGGAATTTGTTGATTCCCTCACTAGACTTGATACTGCTGAAGAAAAATGCTATACACTGTAGGTTCCTATGGTAGATACAAAATCTGGTGTCAATTTGGGGCTTGGATTAAGAGTGAAGGGGTGGAGTCTAGTCTGTCAATCAGATCAGAGCCAATGAGGCCTCTGTGTGGGTGTGGCCTTCTCCTGAGAATTCTGGGAAATCTGGCTTTACCTTCCTGGAGGCAGAAGACACTCTCTCTCTGCTCACTCTCTGGGAGACACTGCAGCTGGAGAAGCCACATGGCCCTACCCTGGTGCAAACCGAACTCTGAATCCTGAGAAGCCATGTAGAGATCCTTGGCAGTGCTGAGATGCTTACAATGCCACTGGATCCAAAGACTTTCTATCCACTGACCTGTGATCACCCTGCTTTCAGGGCCATTGCATGTGTTTCGTGAGTCTGAAGAGGACTTTATAGATTGGTATCAGACATATAGGCTAATATCGGACTTATGGGCTTGGACTGGACTGGGTTGGCATGCTTACTTAATGTATAATTGCCCTTTATATAAAACTCTCTCTTACACACATATGAGTTTCTATGGATTTGTTGTGCTGTGGATTCGAATAAATGACAGCCACTATAATGTCTTGATAATACAGAAGAGTCTTTATTCAGTTATAACCAGATGCTAGAATCTAAAAGCGATTCTTTGATTGAAATCCCAAGTCCACATTTCAGTCCATTTGTGTAAAGGTGAAAAACTCATTTATCGTTTGTCTAAGACTTAAGCAAGCATGGACAGAGCAGAAAGCAAAATTAAGGTTACTGTTCTTTAGGGTTAGGGAGCATTACAGGGTACAGCATTGATTACCACCTCTGGTAACTGCAAGAAGAGGAAGCATGCAGTACAAGTTACATTCCTTATCATAAAAGAAACAATGCCAGAATTGACTATAACATCCGGGTTACATAAAATGATTAACTACACCATTCAGATTACAACATTGAATAGAACAATATAGAATCAGAACAAACAATATATTCAAGAATAGTCAAAATGACTTATAGTGTCCAGAACCTGGGAACATGGGAGTACATTCTAAAATTAATCTCCAGCAAAGACTTTCCCATAAGGGGAGGAAGAACGGGCAGGTCAACTAGCAGTCAACTTTCTGAGATGGGAGGGAGGCACAGGCAAGTTACTAAGCACTTTACATAAATGGAGTTTCTTTTGCGAGTTTTTCTCAGTTTCTCTAGTCTACCCGGACTAACACAGTTCCCAAATGTTCTTGGCCTATTGCCCCCTTTACAGGAAACAAACTACTTAGCCCCTGCGCCCCATCATGAAAAGCTTTTGTATGATGGTCCATAATCCAGGGAAAGTGTCAGTGCCGGCTTTTGTAGCCCTCCTGGATGGTTCCAGCATCCCTCCCGGGGCAGCATCACGTACTTGGGGGAACACGGCTGCAACCTCATACCTCTTGCTCACGTCCTCCCCGAAGCTCCCTGTTCTTCTGCTTGCCTCTTCTACAGAGTCACCCTTTCTTGCTTCTTGCCCCTTACCCTCTGTTTTCTTATCCATATTAAAATGCCTCAGGAATTCCATCTTTGACTTTTTTTCTGTTTTCCCATCCTCTGGATGGATGACAATGAGTCATGGTGGCATAGCGGACGATGCATTGGGGTGTGAACCAGGGCAGCAGTTTAAAACCACTAGCCTATGAGGGGGAAGAAGAGGCTTTCTCTGCCTTAGAGTTGCAGCCTCAGAAACCCGCAGGGGCAGTGCTGCTCCATTGTAAAAGGGCACCATAAGTTGGCACCAACTTATGGAGTGCAGTGAGTTTTGTTTTGTCTGACTTTGGGTTTTGTTTTTGGTTTTTTTTGGTAGGCTGTTCTGTTGCATGCCCTTAGTGTTTCGCCTTGGTGTAGTAGGGTCAGATTGGGCACAATTCCCACACTGTCTCCAGTGTTGTCCCCTGTAGGGCTATGGGTCAGTGAGGGACGTTGTGTCTTGTGGTGGGGCTGGCCCTATGGTCCTCTCTGTGCATTGGCTGCTCTTAGCAGGGATATGGTCCTCAGGGCTGGGTGGGCCAGGAGGTGCTCCACTCTCCCTCCCTCCCCCTTCATTTGCTCCCGTGTGCTCTGATCTGACATGTCCCTCTCCCTGAGCTGTAGCTTCAGTGCTGTCCTCTGAATTGAGTTATTTGGCCAGGGAGTGTGGGGAGGCTGGCAGGGCTGTTGGGCATGGAGGGAGACTGTCAGCATAGTTGGGATTGGGGCCAGCCCCTCAGATCTCTCCACTGGTTCCCTACTCCATGATGGCATGTTGCATTCACATCCTGGAGCACCAGGTTGAAGTCTGGTCCCTCTTTCCCTGTGGCGATATCAACAACGCCCTCCCCTTGGGTGCATTAGTGTGCTTTGTTTGGTGTGAGTGTGTGTGTTTGGTCTAGCTCCCCGACCCCACCAAATGCAGCCTTTGGAAAAGCCCCTGGTTGAATAAACAGGAAATCAGTGCTTGCTTGGCACTTCATTTCAAGCCTTCCGGGTCTGCTGTTCCCATCTGGAGGGGTGAGGGGCAAAAAGGTGCTGGTGGTTGGGGTGGCCATGGGGGAGCCCTACCTCCTCCTGCGATGTGATAAGGCACTGCACCACAACCACATTCCCCTCCTTTCTTGGCAGGAGTGTAGGGGTGGGGCGGGGTTGAAGCAGGAAATAGAAACTGAAACGACAAAGGGATCCAGTGTGCCTGCGGAGGACCTTTGCTGTCAGACTTCCCGTGATCTTGGGGCAGAAACATGTTCCAAAGCCCTGCGGGTCAGAACTGACGGGAAGACGCAGTCTGTGGAGGCTGCAAAGAAGCCCACGGCCTCTTCTTCCTCTGGCAGAACCTGGAGGAGGACTGGATCCCGCCCGAGGGAGAGATGACGCCTGCCCTGGAGCCATTGAGGATGTCACTTCTCTGTAAGTAAAGTGATCCTCCTAGAAATTCCCTCATTTCAGTAAAGGGGCCCAGTGGTGAGGACTTTCACCACATTGTTTCCACGTCCTTCGTTTCCAGTTTGATGTCCAATGTACTGAAAATGAATCGTAGGGATTACACTTGCTTTTGTTTGCTGGTGGGTTTAGTTGATTCAGGCAGGACCGGAAATCTAATTTTTTATTTTTTTTATTTTGGCAAATACTCTATTCAGAGGTGTTTGAAATACACTGAAGGGAGTGCTGACACTCTCAGCTGCTTGCAGCTCCTGCACCAGGGATTAGAATCTTTGCTGTCCTCAGGGTGCCCGGATGGTTTTCCTTTGCAGCAGGTGGACCTCACATTCATGAGACCAAAGATCTAGAACTATTCCCCCTAGATTTGCACCAGCAGTGGTTTTGTTTCCCGTTTTGTTTTGTCTTTAAAACGATACTACATTGTATTACAGAATACTGCTCTGTGTGGAAAGATGTCTGCGGAGGCTTCCTCGGGAATCTTGCAAAAGCCCCATGACTCTGGTAATGCAGTTTATGAAAATCTGCAAGGATGAAAGAACAGAGTGGTGGGGGTGGGGGGGGACCTTTCGTCCATGAAAGTGTGGTAGAAACGGACTTGTAGGTAAGCCAGCACTTTTATACTATAGTTTTCTTTTCCGAATGTCATGTAGAAATGGAATCCGATAGCAGGTAACTGTTCCATCTAATATCTTTTGCTTAGCCTTAGCATTGAGATTCAGCTAGATGGTACCAAGTTTGTCAAATAAGAGCAAGAGGACAGGCTTTTCTGTGTGGCTGGCTGAATCTCTGCATGATCTGTCTAGGAGGGGACAGGGGTGGGTGGATGTGCTACATATTAATGCTTGTTTAAACCGAGCAAGGTGAAAGTTGAGGAACCTGCAGAGAGGAGAGAAGCATGACAAGATAAGGTCAAGACAGGCTGAGAGTAAGTAATGGACAATTGCTAAGCACATAAATACTTACAGTACCTTCTTTCATTATCACAAAAGCTTGGCCACAATTAAATGCACTTCACATGGCAACAAGGTAAACATTCCTCCAGTGGTCTATGGTTGTTGGCTAGGTACCAAATGCAGAGGAGCAGGCAGCCTCAGTTTTCTCCTGAGAAAAGGCTGGTGGACTTGAACCACTGACCTTATGTGTTAACAGCCCAATACTCATTGCACATTACCTCCAGAGCTCTTTCAAGGTAAGGAAGGCTTCTTCACTTCTTAATTTGCCTGCAGCTATCATAGAGGAACATAAATTTTTTTCTGCTCATATAAGTAAAGGGCATACCATTTGAGAAGACATAAGTAAAATCCCCAGATCATCTAGATGGGAGAGAACGAGAACCATTCGGATTTTATGTATGCCTTTTGTTGTTTGCTTGGCGTTTGTGTCACGAAAGCATTTCTGTCCATTTAAAGTGTCCTTTTCTCTCTTGTATGCCCTCAGACCAGTGTCCAGATTGCCCCGACCCGCGGGACTCAGTTATTCGTGGGGGGAACGAGGAGACCCCAGCCTGTAAGAGAAACGGGCGAGAAAGGAGAACGAGACCAAGCAAATTCGTGTCAAGGTCTCAGTTTATTGTTACAGCGTTTGCCTTTTTAACTAGGCGAAGGGGCAGGGGAGATAAGGAAGTGAGTGCAGGGAGGGGAAGGGAGTGCAGGGAGGGGAAGGGAGTGCAGGGAGGAGAGGTTTCTCAAGCTTGTGGAATTTTTACGATTAGGGCGTCTGGCGCCGGGGTGGGGGCGGAACGTCTCCTGGTACGTGGGGGAACGTATAGTTCTCGGAATAAAGGGCCCTAGAGGTCACGTCACGGCTGGCCGCCCTCTGCACCTGGGCTGTCTCAAGGCCTCCCGGTCTCCAACACCAGATGGGTAAAGAATCTGGAGAATTGTTCTGACTCTGTGCCTTCTCTCTTAAGAAAGGCTCATTGTGCATTCGTTCATTTTTATTACTTCTCCCTCTGACTGGTGGACTAGAACACATAGAGAGAACATGCTGACAGAGTTGCATAACCGCTTGCATCGGAACATGGCTCTGTCCCAGGAAACCACCCTGGTGTAGTGCTTCCTTGTTGCTTTGTCTTTTCCCAGTCCTCCCTGCCCCTTCTTTCCACCCCCGGCCTTGTCATAGTCTTCAACATCTTTTCCTATTGTGTTCTGAAAAAATGAAAAAATGGTTTCTGTTATCTGGGTGTTTTCAACTTACTGATGTTGGTTTCTTTTTCAGCATGGTTTGTTGAGCATTCCCTTTTTGGTTTTGTGTTGTTTCCCTCTCTCATTAAAGTTGTTACGGAGTCGTGCCCAACAAGAACCACTGACCACAAACCTGTAAAAGCTAAGAGTAAGTTTATTAGAGAAAAGACAAAGGTTAGAGAAGAGCAAATTTAACAGATAAAAGAGAAAGACAGAAACAGACAAGTTCGAACTCGGACTACAGCCTGACCACGCAGGGTCCAAGACTGCAGTGCCAGGCAAAACTTTCTCCTTCTCTTTATACACTTCAAACCAGCAAAGCGAGGGCGGTAGAGCATGGGGTGGTGAAGGACGTTTGCACAAGATACCAAGATGCGGGCAGTCTGCAAGGTCACAGTTGTTTACTTTTACAACTTATTTCTCGTCTGCTAGAGATAACATAGTTTTAATTTTACGGCTTATTTTTCTAAAAACATTCTCTTCTTAGAGCCGGTCCAGCCTATAATCTTTTCCGGCCACAGATGTTCCTCTGGTGACAGTTTAACCACTTATGTGCACAATTATCTTGCCCAGTCATTCTGACCTGCAAAACTCAGTGGAAAGAGAACTAAAATGGCTGTAAGGGAAAATGGAGTTAGATAGGGATAAAAGAAATTTAAGTCTAACAACATATACTGTAACAAAAGTCTTATTCTTATAAGTAGAAATGAGGTTTCTTATCTCTCTATCTCCATGACCACGGCCATCCCTCATGGAGCAGGGTGTTTTGTGAGAAAGCTTGTCAGTAGGTGGATTGTGGCTCAGTGGCACTTGATTGATGATACTGTGTTAAATGTGTGTGTGTGTGTGTGTGTGTGTGTGTGTGTGTGTGTGTGTGCCTTCCCCCGATAACCTTCAGGATGACATTTGTGTTTTGCAGGTCAAAGAAAACATCCAGTAAAGTTATTCGCTGCCTTCCCTTCCAAAATTGTCAACTGCTTCTGCTTCATTACAGTTCTGGCTTTAGTTGTGGTTGTACTTTCTGTTAGCTTAAGAAGTAAGTAATTTTTCTCCAGAGTTTACATTATCCTCTAGTTGTTAATACATATTTAGGGAGGCCCAGTAGGTGCCTGGCACTATGTGAATTGCTAGAGATTTGTCAGTGAATGAAATTCACCAAATTCTCTGTTATAAGGGAACTGGAATTTTTCAGAAGGACTCACAGGGAATAAACAATAAAAAAGGATAGGGGTCAAACTGCTTGCCATTCACATAGCAAGTTCCTTGAGGGATTTTGTTAAACTCTTGATTGAGATGAAGAATTTAGCCACTTGACTTACTGGGGAAAAAAATACAGGAACAGAAAACCAGTAGAGCAAAAGCCTTAAGGAAGAATCTTCCTTATTTGAGGAACAAGGAAGCTGGTTGAGGAAATGGCATAGAGGCCATGTCTCCTCCACCTACACAAGGTAAGGTGGATACATTTCCCCACCAGCTCAAAGCTGATTTCTATGAAGTTGAGGTCAGGCATGCTTCCACCCACCAAACTTCTTTACCCATTTTTGACACCAATGGTCTGTCCCACAGTACTCTGCTTCTCTACTGGGTTTGATCATCTATTGCAACGGGCACAGTGAACTCACAATCAATACTCATGATTCTGAGGGCTTCCTAGGGAAGTTGACACGTTGCCAGAAGTCAGGTTCAGAACACATGAGTGTTATAATATTTGTGTCTGCAGCATCTCTTCTCAACCACGTTGGAAAGAGGGTGGCCTTAGCCTCTTGCCACGTGGCGCCTTTTAGCATGCTGATGCCTGATGGCACACAATTTACTCACTCCACAGGCCAGGAAGGCCTGTGTCTCTGCCTCAGGATTGCTGCAGCCACCACGGTTTCTCCAGGGTCTCTGCTGCTGCTACTTGTCCTTGCATTGAGCTTAAACATGGTGTTTATAGCCTCTCTTCCCCTTGGTGGAGGGATTCTCTGTTCCTACTTCTGACTCCCTCAACACCAGCCTCATTTGCATGCTTCCTGTTAGTCTTTGCTAAGGGTTACAAAAACTGTGGCTAAAAAAACCCCCTCCCGAGTAGTTTCACTTCACTGCACAGATGTGGCTCAAGTCACAGAGCACAGAGTAGGGGATTAGGGGTTATCCACATGGAGGTGTATAGCCTTGTAGGTATTTTAAATACTGACATTTTAAAAAAAAACTGCTTTCTGAGTGCAATGGGGAATATTAAAGAGTTGTATAAGGAGAGTTGCAAAAGCTATCATGGGTCCTGGAGAATCTTTTTTGACTGCTATGGTTAGAGTAGACAGGAAACAAGGTTTGAAACAGAGAAATTTATCAGGCAATCTTGTGAAAATGCAGGTGAGAGATGAGCATGGCCTGTTCTGGTGATGCCAACAACGATGGAGGATGGGCAGGGTACTCAGATTCTGAGTACTTCAAAAGACAAGCCAACAAAACCGCTTAGCTTTTGGGACAGGAAGTTTCAAAAAGAGAAGAGGTCAAGTTGATTTGAAGGGGTTTGTTTTTCTGTATCCTGAGCAATGGCAAAAATATAGTTGGCATTTACTGCTATGAAAAATGCTATTTAAACATGTTGTTTGTGGCCTCTCTTCTGATGTCACAACTCATTTTAAAGGTGATTTAATGTATGGAGGGTGGGGGGATCTTCTAAAATTTATTGTGGCAATGATTGTACAATTCTTCTTGATATGATTGAATGGTTGAATTGTATAACATGTGGAGTATGTGCCAATAAAACTGTAAAAATAAATGCTGTGAGAAGATCATGCATTTCCTCTATGGACTTATTTCCTAATTTGCTTTTATCTGAAGTGCCATTTGATCAAAGAAATGCTCAAGTGAGATCTCTACTTACAGTCTCTTGAGGTACATCCTCTCTAGCCTTTAGAAGCTTTTCTTCTACTAAGTTAATTGAGAATGCACAAAAGTTAAAAGAACTGAATGCTTTTCAAACATTACCGATCCTTTGTATATAGACAAAGAGGTTCTCTGCATTACCTGACACATAAAAAGAACTATGTGGGAGGAAATGATAAGGGAAACATTGAGATCATGAGACAAAAATTCCCATTCTTCCATGGCCTACACTCTGAAATATTACTTGTTTCAGAACATATAACAGGGGGCAATTTCTTTTATATATATTTCATACTTCAACACCAGTTGCTGTCTATTCTGACAATCCCTTATTTTCAGAGCATTGTGTTTTCAATGGCTGATTTTTCACAAGTGGATTGCCAGGCCTTGCTTCCAAGGTGCAAGATGTCCTCTGCGCATTCAACCTTTCCATCGACAAGCAGAGTCCAGAGGACAGTCACCAGTGCACTTCATACAGGGCTCTACCTAGTATAAAAGATGATGACGAAAAAGAAGGCTTAGAATATACTTTTGATACTAAAATAGTATTTTAATTGTGTTAATTTGTGCACTGGGGACTTCTGTGCAATGGGGAGCTCCCATGAAATACACCATTGTCAGATCCAGGAGAGGGCAGTGGTTTGCCTTTAATTAGTCAGTTAGTTAGTTAGTTGGTGAGTGAGTTAGTTAGTAATACAGAGGGCTGCTATGCAGGAGGATCTGGAAAAAGAAACTGTATGATCTTAGGAAAGAGTAGTAAACATGTTGAACTGTGGAAATCGATTTCCTTAATACTATTTTTTAATCATTTTATTAGGGGCTCATACAACTCTTATCACAATCCATACATACATCAATTGTGTAAAG